CCAAATTCAGCTTATCATTAAAAAGGATAATAATTATCAAAATAGTCTGCTTTTGATTGGCTTCCAATACAGTGTATTAAATATGTGTCATGTCTTGTACACTCAGGACAAGTTATGTCTTAGTTATTGAAAATTATAATACTTCATGAAGTAGCTTTGATTGGTATGCTGTTACTAAACCCAACTCTGTTTAATTCATTCCCTCCACCCCAGCATCCGTCATTTATATACTCATAAGAAATAGACATTATGGTGTTTATTTAGAAGAGTACTAGAGCACCTGAAATTGTGTTTCAATTTTGATCTTGGGTACTCCACAAGTTAATTTTATTGCCTTAAGAATTAACATGTAACTCAGAGAGGCCTTATTTCCAATTACTTTCTTTTTCTTTTATTTACATTGCATTAACAGAAGGGAGGGAGCGAGCACAGTTTACACTTAAGTATTTCACTGAACCGTGTCAACTGTCACTTTTGAAGGGAAATCACAAGCATATGCTGCATTTAGGGAAATATAAAAATATATTACATTGTTGTTATCCTTGACTATCCTTGTGAAGGATTATATATATGTGCCATCTGCAGTTCAGTAACACTAAATATTTAATGAGTTTACAAATAGTAGATAAATATTTAACACAGCTTTGTAGAAATTTGCATGCATTGAACAATTGTTTGTCACTGCCAAAGAAAATGGCCTGATTTGGGGACATGATTATTTCACTTAGCAATTCAAATTGCTTCTGTGGAATCATACCTGAGATAGAAGAATGTTAAAGTTGGAAAAGAACCCATTGTTCAAACTGTCAGTCACTCATGCTATGGTTCCCCTATTATTCCTATCAGTATGGCACTTGCTGTTCCATCCGTTGTGTGGCTGTGGCAACTCTGTGGCTGTACAGCTCTTCTGTTCATACCATGGTTGCATCTCTTTGGGCAGACATTAGCTTTACATCATACATGGTACTCCCTTTTGATGCCTCTCAAATGAAAGGGAAATACTGAGTATATTAATGAATTTATTTAAAGCATTTGCCTAGAGCATTTGCAGCCACACAGACTTCGCAGAGCTTCCAAATATTGAATGGATTCAGTGTCAAAAACCAGAAAAGATAGGAAAACCAGAAAACTTACTTCTCAGTCCCTTAATAGGTTGCAGCCTCAAATAAAATTTCATGAGAGTATGCACCTTGCATCTAGGTCATTCATCAATCTTCTTAAACAGGGAGAGATTAAGTATGAAAATAAAGAAACCTCAGCCAGATCCTTTATTTTGGTTATATAAATATAATTTCAAGTACTTTACAAAATTAAAAGCTTCTGTGGAAACACAAGAAAGTATGGAGAAAACTGGTTGTGCACTGCTGAAAAGCTAATTTGTCAAAATTCCTTTAAAAATACTGTCTTTCAATGTATTCCATTTTAGGTATGTATGAGCCACAGATGGCCATGAATTTCACAATTTGATGAGTCAATGGCCATTGCACTGTATAAAACTTGTGGGAGGAGGTACATTTCCATAAATATGTATCCATACAAACATAATCTGCTTCAGGTGGCCTC